TTTTTGGAAAAGCGTCTTTAGTTTTCGGGCAGACAGTGGTAGTCTTTACACTAGAGCCTAAATAAGCTAAGAAATATTTCAAGACAAGTAAGTTTTAATTACTTCAAGTAAAATAAAGCTTCACACACAACCGATTCTTTTTTACTTCAGGTTATTTTCCCACGCAACAAAATTAAGATTGATTGACATGTCTCGCCTTTCTCAAAGCTCAAGAAACCGCAAAACCGCAAGTCAGCTAAGTAGGTCATAAGGATGGTTTTCAAGTCGCTTGAAACTTTCTTGAACCGTTTCAACTTTCCGACTTTAATGAGATGCAAAGCAAAGTTACTTGAGATTTTACTTAGGCCTTCACACACCAATTTTTGGTTAAGTAAAACTTAGCGGCTCTTAAGTCTTACTTAACAGCCTAGTGTAAAGACAACCAACCAGTATTTTGAAATAAAGTGTTTATATCAAACTGAAAGTTTCCTGACTGCGTGCATTTCTTTCTTTGGTACATGAGCCAGACAAGCCGTGATCGAGTCAATAGCTGTCGCGTCGTGTACGAACTCACGAAAAGAACTCAGGAGATGCTGTTCCCCGATTGGGCACAATAATACAAAGCATTTTTTGTGCCCAATCAGGAGACAGCATTCACTTGACCGTTTGGAAATGGTCCGGTGAGAGTCGGTACCCAGGGGCTCTTCCGCCTGTGCTTGAAAACTGACTGACTGCCCCTGGGTCTCCGAGGATGCCACGCAGGGTGACCGCTTTGCAAGTTGTGAGAACATCGTTTCTCGGTCCCAGACCTCGTCTCTTGCCCCCCTCCCTGGCCCTGGGTTTTGCGGCATATATCAATTTGTCACGCTACAGCCTCGTTTCCACGATTTTTAAGTGACGTCACGTCACATGTTGTCACGCTGACTTTTTCTGTGCAAGTCGCCTTCAGGACAACAAATGAGCAGCAAAATTATTTTTACGATTTTTACCTTCACGAGTGCATCGACCTTACATTATATCGTCTCACTGATTTTTTCTGTGGTATTGTGTAGTTCTGGCTGTTTCCAGGGACCTCCTCTGCCTAACAAACCATTTATAACTGTATGGAACACACCTACGGATCGATGTGAACCAAAATGGAACGTCTCTTTAGATCTGAGTGCTTTTGACATCGTGGTGAACAAAGACCAGAAGTGGTGTGGAGAATACATCGTTGTATTCTACCACACACAGCTTGGATTGTATCCGTATTTTGACAGCAATGGAAAAGCTTTCAACGGTGGTGTACCTCAGGTATTGGACTTGTTATTATTAGCAGTAGAGTTGTAGGCTTGCAACTACGTGACAACGTGACAACGGAGAATTTGAGAAAAAAAAATAAAAAGTTAAGATACAAGCAGAGGGAAACGCTTTTGTTTTTCGTCAACCAAAGTGGCAGTCATGTCATAACCTGCAATCTTGCAGCAGCTAAATTGATGATTCATTAATTTCACCAAAACTTTTCCCATTGAAAAGAAGAAGGAGAGCTTACTAGGCACTTAGCTTTTCCCTTTGCAACACAACTGCCTGGTTAGCTCAGTTGGGAGAGTGACAGAGGAAGATTGGAGAGAGCAGAAATAGTATCCTTAGGGTTGGTGTTATGGAACTTCTGCGTGCAAAAACATTCGCACGTGTGAAGAAATACCCTTCACTGCAGGCTATTGGGAGAGCATTAGTCTGCTAACCAGTAGGTCACGGGTTTAAACCACTCAGGATCTTTAAATAACTGAGAAGAAAGTGCTGCCCTTGTAATTACATCTGCAAACTGTTAGACTTTCTTGTCTTCTCAGATTAGGACAAAAAACCATAGGTCCAGTGTCACAACACTTTCATTTATTCGGTTCTTGTGGGATGTAAAAGAACCCACACCACTGTTCGAAAAGAGTGAGGGGAGGTAGTCTACCCCGGTGGGGTGACCAACCTTTCCTGAACTAGGTGGGTTATCTGTAAGGAGAGATCTTAAATATATAGCAATTCCTCCTTTAGGAGTCGCAATGGCTACCTGTAAATAGTGTAACTGTATGTATGTGCCAACTTTAAGGTACACAATAGCCATATTTTTTTTCTTTTTATGTGATAGCTTGAAAATCTTACAGCACACTTAATAAAAGTACAGCAAGATGTAGCAAATGTCATTCCTGATCATGAATTTCAAGGTATTAGTGTGATTGACTGGGAATTCTGGAGACCAGTGTTTGACAGAAACTGGGATGAACTCTCCATCTATAGGTCTGTCAGAATTTTGTTTTGTCTTTAATAGTTGAACACTTTGATTGTTGAGCCTCTGTATTGGATATTTCCAAAGTAATTGAAGTTGCGACAATTGCTGTTGATGAAGCAAAGATCTTAGGGATTAAAGCACCGACCACATTGCTATTCCAATCAAGACTGGTAAAAAATCTGCCCAAAAATATTATTGTGCTGCACGATCGGAGTTTTTGCTTTGCTTATTAAAACTGTTGCTTTCTTGATTTTCTCGTTTCCATCGTTGATGTGGTTGCACTATAAAAGCTCACCAGTAGCATTACCATGCAAAATATGTTATTGATATTATCGAATATTTCACCTGAAAAACTGTCAATATAATGGAAAGCACGTGACAAAATTGGCATCCGCAGGTACCCATTTCAGGGGCTCATTAAGGGTATTCTACATGTCTAATATTAATCTAAGATAGACTTGGTTGTGTTTCTCTTCAGTGAAGAATTTCAATAATAATATGGCAATTTGTCCAATTCACGTTTGCCAGTTTGTTTTCACAAAATCAGAGAAGGTGAAGATTAATTTGAATTTTTGGTGTTGTTGAGATCTTGTTACTGCAACACCTAATTCCAGCTCCTTGCGTGAGACCAACTTGCAAGCCTTAAATGAATAATTTATATAGAACTTTATGAAAGATTGATTGATTGAATGAATGATTGATTTATTTATCTAAAAGCAGAATCAATCATTCAAAATCAAACTCATTCATACAATCAATTGATTCAATGGAATGAATTAATGAATGAATGAAAAGAAAGAAAATAATTATTTAACGAACAAATTTGTCCTTGTTAATTCTGGAGTTGGGTATGAGCATGCAGGCACTAGCACTTAAAGTGCCCATTACCTAAAATTTTTTATTTTCTTATCTGAAACTCAGTACCTTATTAAAATAACTTCTGCGAAAAAAATTTTGCTATTTGAACAAAACCCGATTTTTTTACAATTTTTTGAAAACGTTCAAATTTGCCGCCATTTTACACACCATTCATCTTAGTCTTCTCTTGGAGTATGACGTACTTTAAGGAACATGTGACCTTATCAACAGGAAAACATTAAGAGTTCTGATAGGTTTTTCTTTTTCAGAAAAACTTTCTTCTTACGAAGACATTGTGTTTCAATCCTTACTTGAACTTTATCTTTTTTGTGTACAGCTGGTGAAGGCAAGGTAATGCGAGTTCCTTAATTTACGTCACATGACGTCATATGTGAGCTTGCTAGTTTGCATGATCAGCAGCGCGAGTGTAGCACAAAAATGTAGACTTCAAAAAATTGTAAAAAAATCGGCTTTTGTTCAAATCGCAAATTTTTTTCGCAGAAGTTATTTTAATAAGGTATAGTTTCAGATAATAAAATAAAAAATTTTAGGTGATGGGCACTTTAAGTGATGCAAAATGATAAACAAAATTGATTATTTTTCAATTTATAGGAACAAGTCTATGGAACTGGTCAAACAGAGACACCCTTTGTGGCCAGATAGTTTAGTTGAAGACATAGCTAGAGTAGAGTTTGAAACAGCAGCCCGAGAATTCATGGAAGAAACTTTGGTGCTTGTTTAGAAACTTCGCCAAAAGTCCTTGTGGGGATTTTATGGATTTCCAAATTGTTACAATGAAAAAGATGCTGGCACATTGCTTGTCAAGTACACGCTTCTGGAAAGCTTTAGATTCGCTTAGAAGTTGGATGGAAGTCCCATTCCTGTGTTCCCATTTGTTCGAATAACATATGCAGTATCTCAGGTCTACCTCAATGTGGTAAGTCAATTAATATTTATCCTCAGCAGTATCTAGTGAGGTTACGTAAATGCCTTCGGGGAACAAATAATTTAAATCAAACATAATGGTGTTAAGACCCCAACTGGCCTAAGGCAAACCAGCTGGCTACATTGTGTTTACAAGAATGGTAGAGGATTTGAACTCAGGACAACCAACAGGTGCAAATCCACACCAGTTTTCACGGTTCTATGGAAATCGGTCAGATTTTTCATAACAAATATATTTTTAATAATAATAGAACTTTTCAAGTTGAAATCTGGAAAATGGTCTGAACAAATGTTCTCTTTTTCCAATTTCTGAGCATTAGATGCTCCCTCAATAAATCAGAAACCCGGGAAAGGGAACTTATTCCACACAAAATTCCTGGTGTTATATTCCCCCGGCCTCCCCTAGAAGCTTGCTTCCTCGGCCCCTCATTAATAGGAAATCGGCCAGTATTTATCCTAGATCCGTGCCTGACCAATTAGGAACAAATTTAACTAGTGGTCTTGGAGGGACTTGAACTTGGGGCGTCCGAATTACAAGTCCAGCAATTTAATATCATGCTGCCTCCCAATTAATTTGGAAGAAGGAGAAATTTTACACCAGAAAGCTCACAAAAAATTTCGAGAGCCCGCAGGTGAAAATTAGACTGCAAGCAGTTGTCCTTCTTTCCTCAGAGCCACCCGCGGTGAACAAAAAGGTAAAATAATGCCCTTACATTCTACCATGTCTCAAAAGAAAAATATTAAGAGACTGCTCGCAGTTTACATAAAGGTGAAAATTGAATGCACGACCCTCCCCTCCAAGCCCTAAATTGGAGGCTCTAGCTACTAGCTGACTTATGTAATATACTGAAGTCTCTATAGTGAGCAGAGTTGAAATTTTTCAATTTGATAATTAGAATTATAATTAATTGATTTTTATAATTGAAAATTAATTATAACTTCACTAGTCATAAAGGTACATGATTATTACAGACTGAAGAAAAAGCCAAAATTGTTTCTGCAGCAAGAAGTCAAGAAAAATCCTGTGTTGTGATTGGCAACCTGAGCAGGGAGGATGGGCCTATCTTGCCTGCTTAGGATTTCCTGCGTGGGTACCTAAGATTAAAACCATAATTGTGATAAGTTGTCTTTAATAATTTTTGTAAAATTTAGCAGGGCTTGTTTGGCCAAGATGGGTAGATGTTGGCTTCAATTTTTTTCTTTGTGCTTGTTTTTATTGGCCTTGATGGCATGATAGAAAAAAACTTGGCCTGTATCCAGGCCTTGGCCAATATTGCATAATTATGTACATGAGTCAGTATTGCTTCTTGCTGAAGTCCATTTATTTTTGTAAATGCGTGTACTGTATAAAATAATGTTAATAAATGTTCAAGGCTCAAGGATCAATGTAGAAAGTTGCTGCACTACATTGTCTTGTGGACAAGCAGTTTTTTCCCATACAAACCCTTACAATCTTAGTCTTTTGTGCAAATCACCTAGTCAAAACTGGCTTTCCAGCGCCATAATATTAATTTNGCTTTAGATTCGCTTAGAAGTTGGATGGAAGTCCCATTCCTGTGTTCCCATTTGTTCGAATAACATATGCAGTATCTCAGGTCTACCTCAATGTGGTAAGTCAATTAATATTTATCCTCAGCAGTATCTAGTGAGGTTACGTAAATGCCTTCGGGGAACAAATAATTTAAATCAAACATAATGGTGTTAAGACCCCAACTGGCCTAAGGCAAACCAGCTGGCTACATTGTGTTTACAAGAATGGTAGAGGATTTGAACTCAGGACAACCAACAGGTGCAAATCCACACCAGTTTTCACGGTTCTATGGAAATCGGTCAGATTTTTCATAACAAATATATTTTTAATAATAATAGAACTTTTCAAGTTGAAATCTGGAAAATGGTCTGAACAAATGTTCTCTTTTTCCAATTTCTGAGCATTAGATGCTCCCTCAATAAATCAGAAACCCGGGAAAGGGAACTTATTCCACACAAAATTCCTGGTGTTATATTCCCCCGGCCTCCCCTAGAAGCTTGCTTCCTCGGCCCCTCATTAATAGGAAATCGGCCAGTATTTATCCTAGATCCGTGCCTGACCAATTAGGAACAAATTTAACTAGTGGTCTTGGAGGGACTTGAACTTGGGGCGTCCGAATTACAAGTCCAGCAATTTAATATCATGCTGCCTCCCAATTAATTTGGAAGAAGGAGAAATTTTACACCAGAAAGCTCACAAAAAATTTCGAGAGCCCGCAGGTGAAAATTAGACTGCAAGCAGTTGTCCTTCTTTCCTCAGAGCCACCCGCGGTGAACAAAAAGGTAAAATAATGCCCTTACATTCTACCATGTCTCAAAAGAAAAATATTAAGAGACTGCTCGCAGTTTACATAAAGGTGAAAATTGAATGCACGACCCTCCCCTCCAAGCCCTAAATTGGAGGCTCTAGCTACTAGCTGACTTATGTAATATACTGAAGTCTCTATAGTGAGCAGAGTTGAAATTTTTCAATTTGATAATTAGAATTATAATTAATTGATTTTTATAATTGAAAATTAATTATAACTTCACTAGTCATAAAGGTACATGATTATTACAGACTGAAGAAAAAGCCAAAATTGTTTCTGCAGCAAGAAGTCAAGAAAAATCCTGTGTTGTGATTGGCAACCTGAGCAGGGAGGATGGGCCTATCTTGCCTGCTTAGGATTTCCTGCGTGGGTACCTAAGATTAAAACCATAATTGTGATAAGTTGTCTTTAATAATTTTTGTAAAATTTAGCAGGGCTTGTTTGGCCAAGATGGGTAGATGTTGGCTTCAATTTTTTTCTTTGTGCTTGTTTTTATTGGCCTTGATGGCATGATAGAAAAAAACTTGGCCTGTATCCAGGCCTTGGCCAATATTGCATAATTATGTACATGAGTCAGTATTGCTTCTTGCTGAAGTCCATTTATTTTTGTAAATGCGTGTACTGTATAAAATAATGTTAATAAATGTTCAAGGCTCAAGGATCAATGTAGAAAGTTGCTGCACTACATTGTCTTGTGGACAAGCAGTTTTTTCCCATACAAACCCTTACAATCTTAGTCTTTTGTGCAAATCACCTAGTCAAAACTGGCTTTCCAG